CAACTAATCAACTTATTGTTGCGTGGAAAGAACAATTTTGCTAAAGTATCTAAAAATTTAGTCTAGTTACAGATCTTCAAAATAATTATGTAGAAATCTCAAGCGTGATGAGTAATGTTGCAAAAAGTTTCGATCAACAACCAGTTTGAGTGTCTTTTCATAATTATTTCGATGGTACAACAAAATTAGTTTCAAATCTAGCTGAACTTTTGGATACTTCAGTGAAAGTCCTTTCCCCGTGTAAGTATGAATCACATTAAATTATTTATCGCATTCCGCACTCTTTCACAAAACGGCAGGTCGACGCCATATCGTCGATATGAGCGCAATGTTCCACCCCGCGCATACACGTGACCATATAGGTAGGGTAGGTAGGTATAACCACCCTTAGCGCGAACGGAAAGCAACAGCGAGAAAGAACGGGTGAGGCGGGGTGGAAAAAAAAAGAGAATCAAGGGGAGAGAAAGAGGTTAAGAAAAAAAAAAAAAAACGAAAATTTCCCAGCTGTTCAAGCCGGCGTTTTATCTTCCTGAAGGATCAAACATGGCGGACGTCGCAACGGGAGGGAGGGGGTTGCAACCCTTGCTATCTGCCTGATCGAAACCTCGCCGTCGCAGGAGTTCACGGCGCACGCGTGTGTGCGTACGTGCGTGAGTATATGCGTGTACGGAATTTCCGTGTAGCTCGATACGTACAATGGAAGAAGAGGACACGAGCGGTCGGCAATATATGCCACGACTTTATTATATACAGGGTGGTGGGCCGCGTGCACACCCGCGTGCGTATACCTGGTGGCCGCCTTTTGTTTCCCAGATCGTATCTACGCTCCGTTTTTCGGCGACACATCTGTGACTGGATTCAAACCGACCGACGACGTCCGCTAAAAATGAAACATATTGTGGAGGCATATGTCTTTTTGCGTGCCGTCTCCCCTTTTTTCAACCTTACTTTAGGAGCTTTCCAACAAGTGAGACATATCAACAAAAGTGTCATTCTGCTTTTTTTTTCTTCCACCGAACATCGGACAAAGACAGAACAATTCCTATGTTGATATAATAATGTATCTCTTGCTAGAAAGCAATCCCTTTGATATTTGAAACGTGTACGGCTAGATCATGTTAATCGTACTTCTTTGAAAACAAACTAAAAACTAGTTTCTCACTTTATACACGAAAAAAAAAATTAATTTCTCGCTACGAGAATTTGATCTCTTTTGCGAAAGTCTAATTCTGTCAGTTTTTTTTTGGTGATAAATGAAGCTTCTGGATATATTTTCATACCTAGATACTAATCGTTGAATAATGAATGGATCACATTTTCGTAACATTTTTCCCTTACGTGGAATACTACTGTTCGCGGCATCGTTTACCGAATGGGATCGATCGATGGTCTATCGTGAACGATCGGCCGTCATTTTACCGGGACAACCAGAACATTTGGGAATGAATTTCGATTGAGTGACCGCATAAATTTTTAATTCGGAAGTAAACAGGAACGAGTAAGTGACGCGCGGCGATTAAGGGCGCGTTCACACCTTGACAAAAAAGTAGAAAGCAGAAAAGTATAGCTTTCAATTGGAACTCATGTTTGTAGTCGATAATTTCAATTTTCTGTACTACTTACTACTAGCGCGAATCCTGATCGGTTGATGCTTTTCCGTCAAGGTGTGAATGCGCCCTAAGAAGGGAAAAAAAGGGGTATCTGAAGTTGTCGCGGTAGGAAAAAATGACGGAAAACGCCGAAAGAGTCGCACGCACGTGCGTACGCCCACTACTTTAAATCGATACATATTTTATCGACCGGCCGCGTTTTTACGCGCGCCCACGTCACGCACGCACAACCGCACCGCCGCGCGTGCACGCGGATGAATGATGGGTGGGCGTGTCGGTTCATCATCGCGTCGGAATATTTGTACGGGTCGTCATGGCGAACTCGCGAAACGATTGCCTCTGTTTAAACGGTGACAGCAAATGAATTATACACAGCAGGCAGGGTATGTACCTGGGATATATGTAGAATGTCCCACTCTCTGACGCGTTAATGATTGATTCTTTGACAAACTTCCTTTTCTTCCTTAAATCCCCGTCTATATTATATAGCTCTTTTTTCTGACGCAAGCGAAATTTCACTATCAAATTTTATCCTTTGTTCAAATTTCGGTTTGTATTAAATAACATTAATTTAACACTAAAAATCAACTCTAAATTTTTCCATATTTTTTTGAAAGCTTAAAACAATAAAAACTTACAGACGGAGGAAATAAAAAATATGATTGCAAATGAAGAATTAAATAACTGAACCAACGAATAATTGCGGAAATACTATAATCAGAGATTTACAATAAAATGCACCAAATATTCCTCGAAATGACTTATCTATGAAAATTTGCACAGTCTCGTACGGTTTGATCGAGCAAAATCGCAATGAACTCTGTGCGTTTCACGAAAGAAAGTGATCGTGATGCGTTAAGTGAGCAACAAAAACATAATGGGTACGGAAAATTGCATGAGGCGGCAATGATGCTGTTTGTAAAACTTCGTTAATTAACGAACGCATCGAGTGCAGCGGCCATATCTATAATTACTCGCGAGGCGACGCCGGGCGATGAAAAACTTTTGAATTCATCAGCCTTGCTCTATCGCGTACCGGGGAGAAAGTGCGATAACGAGAGGGATAGTGAAACGTCAATACGCGCTTCTGCATCGGAGGTATGTCGGTCCGCTCGTTGCATCTCGGGCCGATCTCAACAAGACGCGCCTTCGCTTTAGAATGCCGCGCGAGCTGTCATCATTGCGATCTGAGAAATGGAGACTTAGGGATGGTTGACACTCACGAAAGTGCACGTCAAGAGCACACATAGACGTCCATTGTCTATTTTTCTATCACAAAAATTATAGATTAACTTTAACCTTCGTTTAACTTACAGTTGATCCTTTTCTCATTATAAGAATCAGAAAGATAACGAGTAAATTAAACTGAGATTAAAATTAAATTATTTCGATAGAAATAGACATAATTGACCGAACAATCTTTCTTCTTCACGGAGATTGCGTGCTTCACCACTATGATACTTTCGATCGCTTAGTCGATATTGACACGCACACGCTTCGCAAATATTCTAAGGATACCTCCGTCAAAAGGGCTTTTATATCAATATTTGAAAATTACGACTGTAAAATTTATAATAAAATAGTTTGTTGGAAAATATTAAAATTATTCTACATAAGTCGCAAACGCAAAACGTAATTCGCAACGCTTGTCGCGACAACCAATCAAAAGCGGTTATATCAACATCTTGATTTTCTGCGAGTGACAATTAACTGCTGCGTTATATAGAATAGACCTTTAGTCTTGCACTATTTTGCAAACGATTGAACCACGCTATACGCAATAAAAAAAGAAGAGTTCGATTTCGGATAAGTGATTAGAGAGACGGAAAGTGTAAACCCCATAAAACAGACGTTTCGTGATCGATTCCGCGAATTTTCGTGAGTGTTTAGTTCAGGTCGAATCGCTGTTAGGAGGAGAGTCCGAACGATGGAAGAGGAAGCAGAGCCGGTGGTATCGAGTTTCCGCATCGGTACTTCGGACGAGGCTGCTCCATCTACATAGGTGCTAGCCGAGTCGCCAAAAATAGATCGAGTTCACACGAATTCTACGAGCCGATCGCACGAAACCTCCGGCTACCGTTCGTGATATCGATCGAACTGGCAGCGACCTGATATGTGCGGAACTCGCCTATAACGTGCCACGATTGAAAACGTGCTTATGAAAACCATGTATCTATTATAATTTAAGAATATAAGTAATACAAATTTATGATTAGTGTGTGTTAATTACGGACATACAATTACTGTATTTATTTTTTGAATATATTTTAACTCGATCTTGAGAGTTTTGAAACGTTCATATTCGCGAGAACGTATTCAAGCCTGACTTACATTCAAGTCGCTAAGTTCTAAGTTGATATTAAGTAGATTCTTATATTTAAGACTGTCTTTTGAGTGCAGTCTCAAAATGTCCTGAACCAATCACAGGACTGCGCATTAGCATCATTAAAATATTACTTAGGACAATCTTAAAATAAAAATACCGATCACAGTTCTTGAAATGCGCTATTTAATTCGGATTTCATACATTCTTATTTGTATGTTCCACGCTTGACTTAGGCTCCCTCGTGACGTGTAAAACTTGCCCATATCACGTATAAAAATTCACTCAGGCGTCACGTCTCTTCCGTTCAAAACGATTAATTTGAATGAATTTAAGTTAATTGATGAAATTATGAGAGGTTTTGTATACTTCCGATGTGATTAAGGTGATTCCAGATATGTTCTTGTTAACGGAAGATTGCAAGGCGCGTTCTCCAATAACGGCGATCCACCGCACGAAAATCATTCGACCCGCCATCACCGGGCGCGTTGCGATACGAAGCTGCTAATCACAGTGGAGAGAAGCGGAGCGTATATTAATCAGCGGGTACAGGAAATTAACTTGGCCTTGTTTTATCTTGCATTCTGATTACTATATCTACACACCGCGAGAAACGCATATCTTCGTTCTCTCTGCTGTACGTACGTGCTAATTAAGTATGTGTGTCTTGCTTACGCGAAGGAAGCGATCAAGGACGTACTTTTACGAATAAGGTGTAGACAGAAGACGTAGGATTTTTGTCGAGACTGAGATATCAGTGAGACTAAGTTCAACAAGTCAATATATTGAGTTTTATCGCGCAAAATACTATGCATTTCCACGCCATTTTTCAACATTTTACATAATTGCCTACTTAATCTAGCCATAATAAAGCAGATATCAATTTACATACGAGTGTTTGCTTATTAATCAGAAGCAATCGATATCGAATGTAAAAAAATAAAATTGCCTTCTATTTATTTTTATGTTGTCTGATTAATCGAGCTTGACGGAAATACATATAATCGTATAACGGTCGCTCGTATTTCGCTCGTCAAGGAACTAACACAGCTTAGGTACTTACCAGGCGTCGTTTCGGCTTGATGAGGGGTCGATTCTGACCGTTCATCTTGTAATAAAGCCCGCAAGCGTTGCAGAGGTAGTGACCAGTGCCGTCTCGTCTCCAAAGGGGTGTCGATGTGGCTCCGCAATTCACGCACTCACGACCCTCTACCCCGACGGAACGAAAATCATATTAATTCGGCGCAGTTCATATCGCGCAGCGATATTACTCACTCGTGTTCGCGTGCGAAACGCGAGATCAAATTTGTCAAAGTGGGAACTGCTCAGGCTTCTCTTCGAGAACTCGATTCTAACATTTCCCACGCGAACACGGAAGCACGTTGATCGCGCGAAGGGGCAGCACAGTCATCGTTTTCTTTCATCGTATAAGCTATACTTTTGAGAATTTTTATGCAAAAAAATGCCACTTCTGTATTAAAAGTTTCTTTTCTATTTTCTACTATTTAGATAAAATGACATTTTCTTCAACCAACACATTGCCCTTAAATTTGATTATATAAACTAAATAATGAATGCATAGATTTAACTTCGGTGAATCAACGTGCGTTTACAGAGAGATTTGCAAACAGTCAGGTGACTCGTGAAAAAGAATTCGCATGCAGAGTTGCAGACATACCAATATCAAGCGATTACCAGAGCAAAAGCAGAGTCTCTTTAAGACCATGGGCGTTTATAGGATTCACGGATCGAACTTACGTTAGTGCTTGGTTGGTTAGTCCTCAAGGACACTGCGAGTAGAAAGAAGCGGATATGAGAGGAAGAAGGACGAGATTCGTTCATACCTCCCGGTTTATGAGCAGACGACATGAGCGGTGTTGCTTAAAGATTGGCAAATTTATTTTCTAAATGTTCCTAAGGATTCACGTTATTCCTCTACAATTGAAGACCCTCTAATCAAAGACTGGGTTATAAAAGAGTGTCGGCTATTTTCTTACAAAATCCTGCAAGTGACAAAACACTATTTCACTTTGCAGTGATGCGAGAGAAAAAAAATATATGTTGTGAAAGTATGAATCGCCAGAAAATGTTGAATCAATCAAAAATATCAAATCTTTAATTAGAGGGTCCTTTATCCACAATAAGTATATAGCGTTGTCTTTCTCGTGGAATTAGAAAATCAATTTAGATTTCTCACAACACGCGCGACTCTGGACGGGAAATAAGAAAGAAGGATACACCGTGGATACGAGGATCATTTCTCCCGAAATGCGCGTTTCACGAATCGTCCTCCGAGCTGCGTCCTCCGCGGAGATATATCCGAGTTTATCGGCTGCTACTGAAAATGATTGCTATTAAATTGCGTCGTAGGATCCCTCGTTGACGCACGAGAGACTGAATTGTCGACTGTTACGCGATACGATTGAGCGCAATTCGAGGTAAAAGTAAATGGCTCTGTTCAGTGGCTGTCAAATAATCTTAACGATGCTCGTAAAAGCCACCCTCTGACTACCTCTGCGATTAGATCAATTCTATCGTTGACATCTCTATTGCTAGTGTGCGTTTTGATTTTGTACAAAATTTTTAGTGTAATTTATCTTGCGAGGGATATATATTTTGTTTTATAAAGGATATAACAATTGGAAATCCATATCAATTCCAAAAAGATGTCGTGCCGATGATGGCGATATCGATTGTACGCGCGTCGCTGATTAATGACTCGACCTCAATTTAACGCGAAATTTGACGGCGGCAGAATAATTCTAGCACACGTAACGTAGGTCGCATGTAATTGTCGACACGCGAGCGGCTCGTTTGCGAGTCCACCATGTAGATGAATCTGTAACCGAGCAGTCGAACGTCAGTCTTTTCGTCAGGCTTGTCATACACGTGTGTGAGATGCAATCGAGAAACAAAACAACACAAACGAGATCCCAGTACCTCGATTTTGTAATTCTTAATGATAATGTCGGTAACACATATTGTCGTTGCGCAGATATTACATTGTTAGATATCAAAGGAGTAATGATCCATTGTTTTAGTTAATGGCATATTGTATAGGAGCAGTGGCGACCTATAGAAATGATTGAAAACAACTCAAATTGAGTATAATTTGGCATTGTACTCAATGAATTTAGCTCTCCTATAGAAAAGGGGATCGCGCGACCTCCGGTTTCGTCTATTTTACAAAGTCCATGCGTTGTTTAACAGAGGAAGAAGTTTCATGATGTATATTATTTACTTCTTTTTACCCATTTTGTTATACAGATTAGATGAAATATGAATAAAACAGCATCCGATCAAATCCAGTCTTACTTTTCTAGATATCTTGAAACTTCACACTTTACCGCATAGCTACAGAATCAAAGTACAGGTTTTGACGTGAAAGAGATGCTATGTTCAATGGTCGCCTAATTGTCGTTTTGTGATTCGAGATCGATTTCGAAACTAACTGGAAGGCCTCACTCTTCCACGGCATTTTAATTCGATTTTGGTCTTACTGACCCGCAGATTCGAGGGTGATAACGCCTACAACTACCGTCAATCGCTGATGCTACGTTCGGAATCCCTCTCTCAAGCCGACAATAACAGAGCGGCATAAATGCGATCAATCTTGATCCCCTCACTGCTTTCCGATTTGATTTCGATGACGCCTCGATGATTGCTGATTAAATCCTGATCTCTCTCTCTCTCTAGTACTATATTATTTTTTAATTGACATCCTTGCTTTGTTCATCGACAACGCGGGTTTCACCCTTTGGCGGAATAAATTTTTGGTGATTTAATTATTAATCAATTTTGTTGATAATAGAATGTTCATCGCTCTTTGGCATTTATATTATCGCCGATAATAATTTCCGACTACATATATTTTCTTGTACTGATGTTTCTCTGATTATCGATCAGTTCGTAACGATGGAACGAACGGGCGGACAGTTTCTGACGCAGACGATGGGTATCAGCCACGAAACGTCGAGGTGACGCTCGTTTGCGTCGTTACTCGAAATATAGTCCTCGTGTCAGAAGGTGACGCTAAAATGGCCGGTTTCACCCCAAAGGGACTGGTATCGCTCCCATTTTCGACATCACCTCCGACCTTAATGCCAGGCATGCAACGAAGCGCTCGTTAGACCACTGCTTCCGTTTCAACTTTCGCGAAGCTTTCCGAATTACAACACGAAACGCTTGATAAAACGGTATATCGTAACAGTATAAAATTCTGCTAAATTTGGAATCGTTTTTTGTATTTGTACTCATCCAAATGCACACCTAAATAAAACAATTGCGTTTTTCCTCATTTTTTAAATTATATGTCAAGTATTCCTTATTTTATGTCAATATTTTTTTTACATCGAGTAACTCTCGTTCTGATAAAAATTTCAAAAAATTTCTCTGTAAGTGTCCTATTATTCAATATCCGTTGTGAAAGTTAGGCGTCTATTGTTGATACAGAAACAAACGAGCGAGGACTATTTAGGGTCAAAACAGCCTGCCTAGCCACCGGTGTTCGTTGGCGCGCGAAGAAAATCGACGAAGTGGAGGAAGGAAGCCACCGCTTGTCCCGTGCCACTTCTGTCATCAACGGTCGAGTTATGATTCAGTACGAAAGAAGCGACGTTCCGTCACGAATTTTGCACTGGCCCATGATTATCTCTCTTCCACCCTATTGTCCTTTTTCTCCTGTCCGTTAATTACAGTCGTAATCCTTTCGAACCCAACAGGATTTTCCGTAAAGCTTCTGCTCCCTGATGACTTTCTGGCGCTCATTAACTTTTTAGTTATAAGAACACTAATGACTTCTAATTTATTTATCATTTACATTGCATTCAAAGCACTGTCAGAATGCATTTTTAACATTAGACATTATTCACGTCTTCGATTTCGTATAATGTATCTATGCGACTTAATAACAATTTATTTATCACTTACATTGCATTCAAAGCACTGTCAGAATGCATTTTTAACATTAGACATTATTCACGTCTTCGATTTCGTATAATGTATCTATGCGACTTAATATCGATATATTCGCGTCATTCGTTGCTTTCCTTACAGCCGTTTATTGTAATATTTCCATATCGTATTAATTAACTTCCTCTGATGATCAAAATCGTTCCACACTTCATTCGTCCATACGGAGAGGAAATCTGTAGTATCTATCAAGTTTTTCGTTCCATCTCATTCTTACCTCTTTCCCATCGCGTGCGAAGGATATTTGCCAATCCCGTGTCTACCGTCTGTTTTTCGTGCCGCGAGGTATTACTCAATCGACAGCTCTCAAGCGTCACTTCGACTGACGTACTTCGTTACGGGAGCCATTTTTCGTGGCCTTCTCACAGGCGATTTTCTCGACGATCGCGATAGGTGTCGCTAAATGAACCGCCAATGACGTGGATGCCGCCACCGCGGCTCCGTCTGGCTTCTTCTTCGTCATCGAGAAATTCCGCGCGCGCGGCTAGTTGGTGTGTGTCGTAAGTCGATTCAATTAGCGAGCTTCCATGGCGCGAAGCCGAGGGCCATTGTTCCCGGAATTGGGATTTTTACCACGCCACCGCTGCCGCTCCACGCTAGAGAGCGACCAGCTATTATTACCGCAATCAGCGTATCCGGCATTTTTCAACCGTTTCTGCCTTCTCCTTTTCTCCTTCCTCCGCGACATCAACTACTTCGACGACAACATTACGGACGTTACCGAAAGAAACGTATAATTTCCCAAAAGTTCGTCGATCGCGCTCGAAAACTCTTTGTACATTCTCGCGACGAGATGCTTCACGCAATCGTACTTTACGGATAATAATATTAATGGACTGTAATTGGTTCGTGAATCCGTGACGAATGCGACTCGATCGCGTGTGCTCGCACGAGGGGAAAAAAATGATTTGCCGAAGGGGTATGCCATTGAAAAATGGTCCGTGGACTCTTTGAGAGGGAGCTTTGCCGTGACAAAAACAAAAATACAGCGCTAGCCACACCACATCGAAAAAAAACCTGTGCTTCTTCGCATATTTTTGTGTCTTTGCGTATGTATGTGTGTCCGTGTGAGTGTGTACGATATATGTGTGAGGAGGGGGGAATCAGAGAGAGAAGTATGCGTATTTATAAATAGGGAGATATATAGTAGTAGATACATATATCGTGTTTCATTTCGTAAATCGGGTGTGGTGCTTCACGCTCGCTCTCTCGAGTGGGTGCCACGCAAAAAACACATTAGTGAGGCAAAATACAAAAAACCACAATCAGTGCCTCCCTCTCTCTTTCGCTTTCTTTCTATTGTGATACAGCTCGTCGAAAAAAACGAGAGAAACGGGTGGAAAGAACGTGTTTTGAACGAACTTTAAGCGTAAGACGACCGCCACCAAAAGCTCACGGTTAAAATCAAGATAAAGAATAAAATAAAATCGAATAATGAAATCAACGAAATAAAACAAAATTGATAAGTATCCTGTCTATATATTCTCTTGCCCTCTTTACATATCCAATCGATATTCGAAAGACGCTTCCGAAAGATGTAACGAGTGGATGTCGAGCGAGGGAGAGAATACAAGCGAGATATAAAAATAATTTCTATAAGAAAGTTAATGGAAAATTTTTTCAAGTTAAATAAAACTGTACAGATTAATAAGAAATTTAATGTAACAGAAGTAATATTATGAATCAGGAACAAAAAACGCATTGGCGTCGATTATGTTAAGCTTATATAAATTGCACGAAATATGATAAGTCATATTTTTCGATAATGTAATACAGCACTGAAAATATCAGATAAAATAAAAGGTGCATAAGAATTAACTGAAATTTATACATTAATGTCTTTAATTTCAACAATCGACGCCGGTGCAAAGAAGCGAAACTAAAGATGCCGAAGCAAACAATTACGCAAAGGAAATGATAAATAATTCAAGAATATCGCAACACATCCTATACGGGAAAAGTCTTATTTTATCAGTTGTATCCTAATAACGTGTCTTTCAAAAATTTTAAGATTTTTTAATTACGAAACAATGCAATATATAAAATAATTAACATTAGTAAATTTTTTTTTAAGAGAGGATGGAGATGATTTTAATTATTAAATTCATCGCCACGCAAGACCTCAGGGCTTAAGAAAGAGATCTTCTACTCAATCCTGTAAGATTTTCTAAAACACTTTTCCCGCATGGAAATGTAAGCGAAGAAAAGAACAAATTAAACATATACTCGAAACCAAAAGTATAAATTCGAAAATGAAAGTAACTAAAAAGAAAAAACCCAAAGGAAAAACAGAAAGAACCGTGATAGGCGCGTGCCGCTTACCGGCGGACGTCCTCGACTTGTTCCTCGGCTTTTGCTGCTGCTGTTGCTGCGCGGAGGGCGAGCCCGGCGTGTTTCCGTGCGCGGCCGCGTGACCGACTAGCAGCTTCGAGTCGGCGCCGCCGGGTAGGCCGCCGGCTAGGCCGCCGGTTGCATTACCGGTGCCGGCACCGCCGGCATGGTGACCGAAAATACCGGCGATCGCGGCTGCACTGCCGTTGTGCGGATTGTGGGACGCGGCGGTAGACGACGAGGTGGCGCCGTGATGATGATGATGGTGATGGTGGGTGGTGGTGGGATACTGCAGGTGCTGGTACATATTGTACGCGCTCGCAGCTGGGTCATACTGCGAACCGGAAGTGGCATGGTGGCTGTTGGTCGCTGCCGCGACGGCGGCCGCGGCCGCGTAATTGTCTCTACAGGGCGAGGCCGCGCCGCCGCCACTGCCACTGCCGCCACCGCCGCCGCCGCCGCCACCACCACCGCCACCACCACCGCCGCCGCCGGCCGGCACACCGTTGTTGCTCTGATACGCGTCCTGTTGCTGTTGTTGCTGCTGTTGCGTGGCACTCGCCTGTTGGCTGCCCGTCACATTGCCAGATTGATTATTACCTTCTCGTTGCTTCACCTGGCCGGCGGATGAGCCGTTCGTGCCGGCAGGACCATTGCTGCCGTTGTTGGAACCGTTGTGTTGCTGATGTGGCGGCGAGGGCGCTCCGTGATGATGGCCAAGCATCACCGTCGGCTTGATGTCGCACGAGCTGGCACCGGATGCGCCTAGCGCGTCTTGATGGTGCATAAACGCGCCCATTACCGCCGCGTGAGCGACCGCCGCTTGGTAATCGCTGGTAGTACCACCGCCCAACCCGGAGAGAGGATTACCACTGTTATTATTATTAGCGCTCGTAGAGTTGTTGTTGTTCGTGCTGGAGGTCGTGCTGGCGGTTATGCTATCAGGCGTAGCATCCTTGGGCGGTGTCGGCGGAAAGGAGAAGAGATGATGACCACCGCCACCGTGACTCGACAAACTTCCAGTGGTGGGTGGTAGCGAGGATCCTAAGGGACTCTGCGGCTTCTCGTCGTTCACAGCACCGCCCGTGGTCGTCGTCGCGGGGAATCCCCAGGGTGTCTTCGAGGTATCCGCGCTGCTGCCGGAGAGCCACGGATGGAGAACCGAGCTGTGGAAATGCGGCCGGCAGACTTGGCTCACTGGACCGCTCGACACGCCGCTGCTCGACATTCTCGCTGAAAAGCAAACGAAATGTGGAACGTTACATAGGATAATGCACATGCAAATAAGAATAAATTATTATCTATATGTAAATTGTGTATCGATGTTCAATCAATACTAAAAAGAAACATATTTTTTTATGTTCAGAAATTATATGGATTCTTAGGATTCCATTAAAGTTTTCGTTTATAGAGTTTCACTTAAAAATTTTTAATTCAAAACTATGAAAATAAGGTTCAAAAACATAAAATTATACCAAATCATTACTATTTGAAAAGTCCCGGAATCGTCACGACTCAGATGTTCCAGTTATATCAGGTTATCTAATTAAATAAATAATTATAACACAAAAAGTTTAAATCCTGATTGAATAGCGAAATCATTACATGTTACGATACCGACGAATATAATATATTTCACAATGCGGACAAAACTTTTTGTTCTTAAAGTAAAGAGGAATGAAAATAAGTTCTGCATTTAAGGGGCATTGATCGTTCCAGCTGTTAAGCAAGTTTCATTGCTGCTACTCTACCTGCCATAAATATTTTTAAAAACTCTGCCATGAAGAGCTCAACCAGATGTCTCGTGATTCGTTTGTGTGCAAGAGTGCGATCGTGCTACACTCGGGAATCGCTTTATCTGAAAATGGTAGTCACGTGGAGTATCGATGCTGTCGTAGCAACGACGAAAAAGAAGAATCCGATTCACATGCGTGCTCGGAATGATCGGATTTTATACCGATCGTAAAGGCCTAATTGCAGCAGACGTCTTAATTAAGTGCCAAGCCAACTCGCTTGGTACGCGGTATTACAGCCCTTCTTTCTCTTGTCTTTACAGCGAACGACGTGTATCATTCTTCGATCGAATTTGAAGTCATCATGATTCGCTTATTACATGATAAAGCACTAAACTTACCCACGCGTAATTAATTCTTCATTAGCAATCATCATTTCGTTATACGGCACTAGAAGCGTGTCCGCCAGCGTGATGCCGCGCCGACGAGAGATCGCGTTATGTGTGCGTATACCGGCTAGACGACGCGCGTTCGTCCGTTTTATCGTGCTTATCGACAAGAAAGAGCGCTATGTAAATGTCTGCTCGAGAAATGGTGCTGCTCGCCTGACGCTAATTGCGCTCCGAGTTCAAATTAGACCGCGTGTCGCATGTGGAAGTCGCGCGAGCGTAATGATTCGCGATATATCGCCGGTAACTTTTTTTATTCTCGCTCTAATGACTGGTTTTGTTTTAGATTCACATTTTCCGTCTTTTTTTTTTACGTGCAATCATCGAAGAATGTAAAACCGCATCGAAATCCAATGTATTTTAAATCGAAACTGAATTTGTTATTAAATGATCAGATGGCTATGAAGCGCGCGTAAACTTTAAATCACAAGTCATAAGAAATCAGCTAATCACGATCAAATGTGAGAAGAATAGTCGACTATGATTAATTTCTTGTGACTTCAGGCTTAAAGGGAATGGTTTATTGAAGAAAACCTATTAAAGATTGAAAATTAAACTATTCTTTTTCAAAACTAATTTAATTTCTTCTCCTTAAAGTGAAATTCCACTCCAAAGAATTTAGAAAATAAATATGTCGCTGTTAAAAACGGTTATATCTGTTTATCAAACTAATAATAATATATTTGTTTAATGAGAAGATAATTAACAGCCAAAAAATCTGGCGTGGCGCGGTTACGATGTCTAAAATTAGAGTTATATTTGTGGGACAAAAATGAATGGGCAATTACGGCCATCCTGCGACGATACGGTCACCTCTCGTCATTAATGACGGTACAGAGAGCTCATAACGCATCAAATTAATTAGCTTCGGTTATTATCTTACGACAACAATAACGACGACAACCACGACAACGACGACGACCACGACGACTAATTAACCGATCCCCATCTTTCGCCGTCAGCCAGGAAAGTGCAGCGTTCTTAATATCCGTGCAAATTTGCGGATGCACATTGTTGCCAGCGAATACCAAAACGTGCATGCGACGCATGCAAACCTGCTTACTTGGCCCAAGTGGCCGATCGATATATCGAGCTGGTTCTTGCTAACAACGCCCCCGCTCCACCACCTTCACGGCATACGCTGATAACAAGATGATGTTTTGCCAAACCGCGCGCTTCGTCTTGTGTCCCACCCTGTGTCTTCTGACTATCCCTCGAATTATGGGCATTAATTTTGAACCCCGAGCTCACGTCCGCGTTACGAGAACGCCCACATTTCGTACCGACGCGACGCGACGCGACGTTGGGAAAGAAACTTCCAAAATCGCATTTTCATCGTAAATACACTTGGAACACGAATAACGTGTGTGGAATAAAAAATTCCTGGTTTTTAATACAATTGCAAATTGGTTAATCTGTAGCGTGAAAGCGCGCGCCTGCCTGACAGGACATGAACGAAACGCGTTGGCATATCGAGCATTGCAAATGGCGGCGGCATCTGTGAAAAGACGCTGTCTAAATTTAGAGAAGCGCGAAACACAATATTACGAATACAGCGAGCAGCGAGATGAGCAGCTGCGGCTCTGTAATTAATCGGAGCCAACGATGGCCTGTCTGTAATTGGATCCGCTGCATCGCGGCGCAGCAGCCGCAATGAAAAGTAAACAAGCTCTACGTGTAGCTACGCTTTCGAAAGTCCTCAACTATTTCATTATACCGCGATTTATTCATCCTAATAACGTTATGCAATATCTGTGTGTTACTTTTTATTGACGATAACAGCATACGCGCGCTAACGTCGTTCCATTTCCACCAATTACCCAGGACGTATCCGAGCATTATCATTATTGGATAGATTTGTTCACATTGCTTGCGTATTTTGCAAAATGTTTACCCTCTCTTTTTTTCAACGTCCGAATGTGTATACATTTATCTCGTTTTAATAACAATGTTTGAGACTTCAAGTAACACGAACAGATTTAAAGTCTTGTGTTCACAATGCTAATAAAAATTATTGCGAGATTTTGGACAGAAAAACGATTAATCACGTATAAACAATTCGGTCAAATGCGTTTAATTAATTCTTTCTTTATCCAGATCTCGGTAATCCAATTTCTAGTATCGTAGACACAAAAGACTTAATAGGTTGTAATAGTTTTAGATAAAATATCACTAACGGAACTCAAAGTCAGTCGTCTCATGTCAGAGTCATTCTGATCGTCGCGACGAACAAGATGGGAATCGAAGATAAAGACGGAGTGGTAGCGACGAGAAATGCGCAGACAGAGAAGAACACTTCGCACTTTCGACGCAATAAAAACTTCCATGCTGAGCGATATTTATCGCTCTTTCCGACCCTCCTCTTCGTGCACGCTTCCCTCGTCGCGACTACGTTTTTACAGGATTTCATGGAACTTTTTGTCGACCAACTCTCCCCCCTGCGGCATGCGGCTCTTCCGTTATCTTCGCCTGTGTCGTCTTTGTCCTGATATGCTAATTACTGCTAATGTAACTCGCTGATCGTCCAATCATCGAGAACAATATTATAGGCTTTCGATTATTCTTCCCACATTCGACTGTGATTAGTTAGTTTCTTACGGCTTAAAGCTTAGGACTTAATGCTTTCTGTAATAATATCTTAGTGTAGAAAGCTCATAACGTTCGGTACCGTTTAATTTCGCGAAGATACAGACGCGAAATAGGAATGCAGCCCTTATTAAAAGATCGCCGATTAAAACAACGTCGTAAATTACGTTTGCTATAAGCGGCGGCTATACATTTTCGATGGATATAATTTCCTCGCTTCACGAGAGCTACGTCGAGCTATGGATCGTCCAGAATAACGTTTCCATTCACTCTCGTGGCTTCGCTTTTATGAACCCAGTCGCCAGTTTTCACACGCGCAATAATCGCGCTCCATAAATCGCTCCACGATGATCGCGCTGTTCAGCGCTAGTCGAAAACTTGGCAGCATGTTGCAATAAAGTATAACATCGTTTTGTCGAAACACAGAAGGAAAAAGGAGGACGTGGCCTCTTTATTATTATTGCGCTACGTGGATCTCGAGGAGTTTTTTGAGCGTCCGCACTCGCAAGGTGCTCGTTGAGAAACGGATCCCGTCTAAATACGCGCGAATATATTCCGTCGCGGCTTTCTTTCTCAATCACGAATTCGCCTTTGTGCTATTAAAGCAGGATTGTCCTTCAATCAGACCGAAAAAATAGCAGGGCCTAAAGAAGATCCACGATATACCCATGCATGTATAACGAATACAGCCTGCTGTATATTAACGGTGACATTATGCTAACAATATCGATTTTCTCCGCAATCTATTCTGTTCTAACGTATCAAATTTCAACTCACGATTAAGTCAATCGGAAAGCTGAGGAGAATAGGAAATCGCAGGAGATCGCTTTCGAGGCCCGGGACGGGTAAAGCCGCTCAAAAAATATATTTTCCGTTATGCTCCACTGTTAGTCGCATCGTTAAATTCCAGATATCGCTTCGCTTCTCGCGATATTATCCGATTGGCTGATTCCTAGATAATAACCGAAGGGTTTTGCACGGTATAACGCCATTCAGCGTATCATGAATATTCATGAAAAATCCATGGATACGGTCACTGTTATATCGCGCGAACGAAATCGACACGACTATACAGATAACACACTCGGGTCTCCTAGCTATATATACATTTGTATTTTTTTCATCGGCAATACGCCACACAGCGTACATCCGATCGTCGTAAAATTGCTGGTGATATTCGTAAATTTTTCGTCCGCAAAATGAAAAAAAAAAAAAAACAGATCGCGCCACGGGCCACGCAAATTTGTATCCCATCGCGCGTTTGGGATTTAATAAGATCGCTCGGAGCGATCGGGCCGATCATTTCGGCTCGGGGACTCCGTTCTCTCTTACTTTAGCGTACTTAAAATTCGCTCGTCATGGAGCGAGCGATACGCGCGATAACGTCAGAAACGACCCACGCCTAAGGAGCGATCAAGATCGGTTCGATTAATCGCTTACTCGATCGCTCGCGAGCCGAGCGCAG